CATTAATGACGACAATATTAATATCCGGAATAATTTAAGTTATAACAATAATATTCTTAATTACAACAATAATAATAACGAATATAATAGAAGTAACAATAATGATAACAACAGCAATGTTAATGATAGCAGTGATGAGAATAATGGTAACTATAACAATGCAATCAATAGCAATGAAATTGATAATGACAGTAATAATAGTAACAGTAATAGTACCAATAATAATAATGCTATTAATGTTAATAATAATAGCAATAATAGGAATAATTATAGTAATGATAATAATAATAATAGCAACGAAAATGATAACGATTACAGTGATCACGATAATAATAGTAATATTGGCAATATTAGCAGCAGAAATAATAATTATAATAACAATAATAGTAATGATGGTAATAATAATGCAAATAGTAACGATAATGAAAATACTAGCAATAACAATAATGAAAACAGTAACAGCAATGATAATAATGGTAATAATAATAATGAAAATAGTAATAATAATGGAAGTGATAGTGCTAATAATAGTAACGAAAATAATGATAATATTGGCAATGACGATAGTAATAATGACTTAACTAATATGCATATAAATAATAACAATATGATTCGTGAAAATCGTAATAATGATAGGAATAGTGACAATATTAATGATAATGGTAATGAAAATAATAACATGAATGTTAGTAATATTCATGGCTACAGTATTGATAATAATTCTAACAGTTTTCTTCTTCACAATTATAATAATAGCAATAATAATACCAATAACAATAACAATAAAAATAATAGTAAATTAAGTGCCAACAAGAATAATAAAAATGATAATGATAAAAATAACAAGAACAAAACATCAGCATTGGGCAAATCAAGTAAAGCAAACGAGTTTGATGATCAAAACTCGAAAGAGAGTGGGTCTAAATTACCGTCTTGGGATCAAAAAAACAATTTTCCAATAGAATCAATTTCTAATATCAATAAAAGTGATGTTACAGTAGATAGAAGTATAACTCCAAATAGTGTTGTTAATAGTATTGAAGCTGGACAATTGTTAGATCAGAATAATCCGATACAAAATCGTAATCAAACGATAAGCGGAAAGTCTTCTCTTGGCACATTAGGTATTATTTTTTAACTTGTATTGAAATGAAAATTTATTAATTAATAATAACATTTTTTTTAAAGGAACATCGAAAAATTCTTTAGAAAAAGCTTTACAAGCGGCAAATACAGTAAATACTGGTCCAATAAGTCCAAATTTAGGTAACTTACAACCGTCTCTACAAGGAGTTAAAGTACCCGACGAAAACTTAACACCACAGCAGCGTCAACACAGAGAAGAGCAACTTGCTAAACTTAAGAAAATGAATCAATTTTTGTTCCCTGAGCATACTGGAGTTGGATCAGAATTTTTACCTAGAGGACCGAATGCTGATTCAACACCTGTCAATGCAGAGTTATTAATAGATACAAATGTTTCATCAACTGAATCAAAACTGCTTGGACCAATTGCATATAGTTCTGGGAATTCTAATGCGAATAATACTGTTTCAGGTGATCAATTAAATGTGCTTAATACAACCAGTATTCCACATGTTGTTTCAAATGAATCATCATCAGGCTTAATAACGCAACCATCCGGTATGACTTTAGCAAACAATTCTTTGCATAATAATGCAGTTCATCCATCTGGTGGAGTTCGAACTAGCATGCTAAATAATGGACGTGTATTATCTGCAAATTCTATGCAACGTTCAATAGGTTCATTGGAAAATAATAGAAATAATCCATCGGAAAACCTATCTGATAATAATAATGATAGTGGATTTGGCTTAATACCTGAGAGTCAAACTAACAGGAAAGTAGAAACTGAAAATAATTCGAGGGGATTAATGCCACCTGAAAATCAAATGCAAAATTTAATAAGACAAGGAATAACACATTTGAAGAATAAATGTGGAAGTAATGATGGTGTATCTAGTGCAGATTCTGCGGAGCATGTCACATCTAGACCTTCGAATAAATCTAATATGTCTGGCGTAATGGTACCAACGGGTGTAGGGCATGAGGAATGGAATAAATTTCAACATCAATACTACAAGGAAAGAGCAAAAACAAAATGCCATAATAATGGGCAAATCCTAGATAGTTCATCTATTCCAGGTTAGCTTCTTATGTCTCACTTTATTGTTTAATTTCTATAAAAAAATTCATGAAATTTTCAAGGTTTTTGCAACACAACTCAAAATATAACTGGAATCATACAAAGTTCACCACGACATATTTCCGGATCCAACCAAAAGAATATGCTGTGCGGTCCAAATAGTATTCCCGGAACAAATACAAATATGATAAAGCAAAATTCACAAAGTTGTCTAAAATCGAACGGAGGATCTTCATCTTCACCGCCTTTGCCTCCACCATATTATCAAACACCACGATCAGCTTCCGCACCGATGACTACTCAAAATTCTAATCCAGGAAGTCCAAATAATCCAAGCTCTAATTCTTCATTACCATCGCCTCGTACTACCACAGGAAGTGGAAGATTATCAAACTCTCCTTGCTTAGATAACATGAACTCTAGCCGTAATGTTTCAATAAATAGCACAATAGGAAATAAATCTATGACATCGAAGCAACAAGCTTCTCCAGCAAATTCAATCGCATTAGAATGTAGTAATACAATAGCTAATGATTCGCATGGTGTAGGAAATAATTTATCATATACCAATATATCAAATAATAGAAATTCGATTAGCCATAATAGTAATCCAAGCACACCGATTTCATCTCACTTATCACCAAATGCTAGTCTTAAAGATATCGAATTAAATGAAGGAAATTGTGGTAATTCTATTCTAGGTAAAATAAACAGCAATTTCATTAGATTATAAACATTTAACTTAAATTATAACACAGATCGAAATCGCATAAATGTTTCTGGATCTAGTTCTCTAGAACAATCTAGAACACCTTCATTTAACGGGGATCATTATAGTAATCCAGGTAGTAGCGACTCACGATTTCCACCAAATAGCAGTCCAAATGTAAACTTTTCGCCACCAACTAGTAATATATCCCAACAGCAAGGTACAAGTAATATAAATGTACAACTAATGAATGAAGGAAATACTGTTGACAAAAGCAAGGGTGACGCAAATTTGCAACAGTCAGGAGCAAAAATTAGTTTTATGGATGTAAGTAAAATTTTTTTTCTTTATATCTCGTAAGGTTTTTTTTATTACTACTTGATAAATTATAAAAATTATAGTCGTCTTCATCATCATCACCATCAACTAATATTTCAATTCGAAACAATAATACACCAGGAAATGTAAATAATAACGGACCAACAACAATAAAAGGTCATCATTTTGATCCAATATCATCTTTAGCCAAAATGTCAAAACAACTAACTAATACTGGCGCAAATGGATCTTTGAATGAACAGAATTTAGCAAATCAAAGTGGATTAATGGGATCAGTAATTGTACCGGAAGGATTTCCCAATAGTGGAATGTGCATGTTGGGGAGTAATATGTTAAATGTAAATGCCCCAAATGATGGAGATAATAATTTACGCTGCCAAGAAGGTTTCGATATGTGTAATAATTTAGATAATCCAAATTTTGGAAGCATACGAAATTGTCCAAATAATGTAAATCCATATTTTACAAATGGTCCTAATAACGGAATTTTAAATAATATGAGTAGATTTGGTGTTCCAATGATGGGTGCAAGATCCTTATCACCCAAAGCTCATGGGAATTCATTAGCTTTTCAAGGAAATCCAATGAATATGCAACCACTATGTCATAGAATAATGGATCGCAACACTTTAGGACCAGGAATAAGACAACAGCACTTGGGAAATCTGTACAATAATTGTACAAATATTCAAGTTAGAGCAAGTACACCGAATACAATTCAATATATGCCTGCTAGACCTCAAGTAGATAATAATCAGAACCCAAGATTACCACTTAGTTTAGATTTTTTACCACATTTTGGTAGTTCAGTTTTACAAGAAAGCAATGCTAACAACGATATTCGAAATCCTCTTAATAAAATTTCAACAACTTGTGAAGGAAATTCATCAAATTCATCATTCTATTCCAATTCAAATTCAATGTTAACAGAAGATATCAATATAAATAACAGAAGCGGAGTATCTGAAAAGTCAGTATCTAACGCGAACATGATAGGTATCGAGGGTAACAATTCTGGCAATATGGAAAATAACAGTAACAATATGGGAAGAAATTTTGAGACGAATAATTCTAATAGAAATAATAAAAACAGTACCAATATTAATAATAATAGCAGCATAGCCAACAGTAATAATTTAAATAAAGATAATAATAACACTAATGAAATTAATAGCGGCAATAATACTACTAATAGTAGTAATAATTATAACAGTAAAAACATTAATAATAACAGTAATAATAATAATAATAGCAGCAGTAATGACAATAATAATTCTAATAATAATAATAACAATAATAATAATAATAATGGTAATAGTAATAATAGTGGTAATAGCAATAATAGCAACAGTAATAATAATAGTGGTAATAATAATGTTAACAATAATAATAGTAATAACAATTTAACTGGTATGTCAATGCAAAATCACATATTAAATCAGCGTGGACTTCGTTCATCACCAACACAGAGTGGTATATTACGAATATCTGATAACTTAAATAATTGTCCAGATAATACAGGAAGACCCAGCAATGTCATGATGACTGGACCTTCCTTAGGCCAACATTATTTGTTTAATAATATTCCACCTTCAAATATATCATATCATAATTCTCAACATCCACATCATCAACATCATAGTCATTCTTCCCACCCACCACCACCACCTCCAGGAAGCCATCATCATAATATGCATCATCTTCATCATCATCATCAACAACAGCAATTCGGACCGAATAGTGGAAATGATCCTTCGCAGTTCGTATCTCAAATGTTTGCTGGTAATAATAATATAAATTGTGGACTACCCAATCGAGTTTCAAAAGGTACTTACTATAAAATAATTAAATTTTATATTAACAGTTAAATACAAATTTTTTTAAAATTATAAAAACTAATGTTCTTCTTTTTTCGAATTTAAGACGGTGGAAATAATATTGGCCTTAGAATTGGTATTAATAATATTGGTGGTGGTGGTAATATTTCTTGTACAGGTGGCATTGGTAATAATTCAACAAATTTTGAAACGAATCCAAATTTATTGAATAGAATTGATGATAATGATTTAATGATGGGAAATATTATCGGTAATCGTAACGATGAAATGACAAATAATCGATTTAGGCCACAACAACAGCAATTACATTCGCATCAGCAACAGCAACAATCATCACAATTTATTGGTCCATCAATTATCGATCCGAATTATGCACAACAGTATCATAATTTTCAGCAACAACTATATGCAACATCAATAAGAAGTAACAATAATAATAACAACAGTATTAATCATTCAAAACAATTACAACCGCCGCCATCAAATTTAATACCAGCATCATCATCGTCATCAACATCATGTGCTCATAACAACAATGGTAATGGAAATGGTAACTTATTAAATACCACTGGAGATATAAATAAAAATTAAAATATAAGAAAAATAATTGAAACAAAAAACAAACGAAAATTAAATTCAGGGAATTTTTAATTTAAAAAAAAAAATAGTACATATATTTAGATTTTCTTAATTATAATTGAAATAAGAAATAATTTTCATTTTTACAAAAAGAAAAATTTTAGAATCTTTTATTTTGTTTTATGTTAGAATATAAGATTTATTATGTAATTTATAAAATGAATCAATCGAAACAAAATTTTAAGAAAATAATAATTTTACCAATAAATAACTATGAAATAAATTTTTAGATTTTAAGTATTATATGTATATATATATGTACATAAATATACATATACATACACATATTAAGAACAAAATCAGATACATATATTTAGGGAAAAAATAAATAAATGTATAAGAAATTCTTACATCTCATAAAATAATTTCCTTCTTTTGTAAAAAATTAATTGGATATTTTACAAATCATTTAATAATAAATACATATAATTATTTAATAAAAAAAATGGTAATATTATTATAAAAAAAGTTAAATAAAATTATAATCAGGTTTTAAGCAAGATATTTTTTTATTTGGAGTATATAAAATGTATAAATACAGTTCATATCTCTCGATCACCAACAAAGGTGTTTTTGGTAATGCAATATGCTATCGCATTTCTAACTTAGAACTTAAATAACTTAGAAAACAGAAAGACGCAGCTGCAAAAACTACAAATTTGACATTACCATAAAAAATGTTTTTATTTATGAAATCTAATATTGTCACATATTTTTTAAGGTTTAAAAATGAAATCACAAAATTAACAGCCCTAAAATTGCGAATTTCATATTCAAAATTCCGAATTACTAAAATTCTTCTACGAATACTTGTAATAGAGTAATCATAAACTACGTTCGTAGCAAAAATAACCCTCCAAAGACTACGAAAGAAATAATCATAAATTACGTGCGTAGTAAAAATAATGCTCAAAAGCCTACGAACGAAATAATCACACGTGGCAAGCAATTTAAAGAGAATGGTTGTTTTAAATTTCAAAGTTTCCAATTTTTTGTTTAAAATTGAGTTCTTCCAACACAGCTACCATGAAAGGAAATGAACAAGAACGAAAAAAAGACTGCAAAACTCCGTTTTTAAAATATGTCCTTTTTTGTGAAAGTTATATAAATCAAATAACAAATAAATAAATTTTAAATAAACATTTGACAATTGAAATAAAATACTGATTTTGACACACCGAAATTGTTTTACTATTCCTGATTCATATTAATCTCTTCGAAAGGAATTGGTGATAATTTCAAAGTCATAAGTAAGTTCGCAATTGGTAGAATTTTACGAGACGAATTCATGATAGGGCTGTAAATATTTTATTATTTCCAGTTCACTGAAATATAAATTAAAAAGTTTTGTATAGCGCGTATATCCTTAAAATCATAACATGCCGTTATAGTTTTAAAACCAACTGCATTTTTTGACAGCACATGCAGTTCTAAATTGTCGTACAAAGAACATGTTTAGTACTAAGGCAGAATTGAATTAACAAAAAAACAAAAAGTCATGAATTTAAGTTATTCTTGTTAAATTATCAAATAATGAAATTACTAATAAGCCTCAGTTAGTACAGATCCTCCAAAACAGTTGAGTTTACTTTAACAATCCTTTAACAATCTTAATTGAAAAATCAATTTTATTGTTTTATGTATTTTAAAGATCATCGGATTATTTGCAAAGTAAAAGTAAAAATTTGCACTAAAAGGTACAATTTGACGATCGTCAAAAATAACTTGTCATAATCATTTTGACCCGTAAATCATGGTTTTATAATGTGTTGCTAACGCAGAAATTTGCAAAAATCAATGCAAAGCCGCATTTTTTTTTGTTACTGCAAGATGGTAAAATATTTTGTGTTTACAAGATGTCTGAGACGGAATCAAGGTATTTAATTGATTATATATTGATTAACTAAAGTTTTTAATAAAAATATGCTGTTTTATAGGATTCATCTTTTATTTTTGTTTCTTTTTTGTCTCAAACAGCGTCACTTTAATTTTTATAATGATTAATGACATATGCAAATAATTGCAACAACAGACGATTCTGACATCAATTACAGAAATCATGAACACATGATCGTCAAATCGTTGACAATTACAAAATATACCAAAAATTTTTAAAACGTATACTAAAATATCACTTTTTTTATAAATTGATACCAGATATAAATGCGACTTGCTCTTTACCTATACTTAACTTATATTTATGTATTGAAATAACCATACATATTTATTATTTTATGTTTATTATTTATATTTAAATAAATTGATGATGCTCGGATATAACAAAGTTACCCAAATTTTTTAATATCAAAGATTTGAATAAAAAAAGTTATATTCATTAAATATGCGTTCGACGATCTTTAAAATTCAGAACTTCAAGATCATAAATTTTTACTGCTTAGATATCGTGTTCACACTGAAAAATCAAATCGTTGAATTTGCAAAAATTAGAAAAATTCACCTAACATTAAAGCGGTATTTATTTAAATGCTATTTTGTGGATGCGTGAGTTTGTTAATATGTTGACAAAGTTACATTATTTTCATTGCTTGATCCATATTTAACGTTTTTTTATATTAATCATCCGTAATCGACTGACTATTGACTTTGAATATTTTTTACAGGCTCAAAATGATTACACAAAATAATAAACTGAGACCTTAAAACGTTACTATTGTAATCACCTTAATCCTTATTTTATTTTTTTAAATGAAATTTTAATAGCTTTTTTTAAACTTTTTTTATAATTTTTCTTTTCAATCTAATTAATTAATTTAATAGTTTTTATTTTTGTTTTGTTTTTTTTTATAATTCAATTTAATTTCAAAATAAAATAACAAATAAATATACAATTTTTTTAAATATAATGTAAGTATATATATATATATATATATATGTATATACATATATATGCATGTATGTATATGTATATATTTTTCTTTTTAATTATTTTACAAATTAATTAATTATTTAAATTTTTTAATTTTAATTTTAAATGATTTTTAATAGGATCTATTGATTGGAAGTAATGACGATAATATTGCCCAACATACTTTAATTAAAATCCCAATAATAATACATTTAACACACTGATGAAGCCAATATAACCTAAAAGAGAAAAGAAGAAATATTAAATAAAAATAATTGGTAACAGTCATAAGAAATTTAATTATCTATATAACAGAGTCTATTATATAGAGATAGTCTATTAAATAGACTATCTTTATCAAATGCAATCAAAATGTATAAAGTGATAAAACCGCATTTTGAGTAAGGTTCATCTGTCCTGTTTTTAAACAAATGAAAATCAGACTGCAACAAATGCAAAATAGGGGAATGCGGACTGTTCTTAAGCTTAGTAGGTATTCATCTATTAAAATTATGTTAGAAGCGCTAAAGTGGTTTTTAGGTGGTATTTAGGTGGTTAAATACTGTTGAGCTGTACTGTTTTAAAATAAAAAATAATATGTTTCCTAAATATCTATGTGAAAAAATCTTGTATAATAAAGCAGTACATTATTATAGGATGAGAAACAATTTAAATTTTAGATTAGGAAATGTTAGAACAACTTTTAGTCAAAATATGCTTATGTATAAGGGTTTGAAAATGTTTAACAACATGCCGAAATAAAAAACATAACCAATGTGAATTTATTCAAAAGTAAACTTAGTATTTATATTAAACCAAAAGGCTAATTTCAAAGAATTATATAATAATGTGATTAGATATTTAGATGTATGTAGCAATATCTAATTGCTAAATATTTCATATAAATTTTTATTATAATTTTTGTGGTACTTATTTACACCTTGTTAAAATATTTAAATGATTTTCCTTAATAACCAGGTTTTAAGTATAAGATTTTAAGTAAGGTTTAAAGATCAGATACGTAAAGTAAAATAAAATTAATAATATCGTTCCGAAACTATATTCAGTCGTACATTAAAAAAATAAAAATTCGGAAATGGAGCGATGTCGACTCGTAGAGCACTTGTTTAAGGTACTGGCAGTTTTAGACTCTGCAGGAAAAAAAAATAGGAATCGTTCATACACCTTCTCTTAGGTTGTGAAACTTTGAACATGAGAAGGAGCTTCAGAAGGGCTTTATCTTGATAGCAGGGGAGACTGCGAAGAATTAATCCGAAAAGATAATTGGATTTTAAAAAACAAAAGTTAAATAATCATAGTTTTTGTTTTTACCTATGCCAACGTATTAATGCTTGTGGAATTGTTTCAAGTGGATCGTGTAATAAATATTGCCTTATGCCACGAAAATAATGTTGTAAAAATAAATCCCAATTTAATTGACTCATATCAAAGAAGAATATTTCTTTATCTTTTTCGTCTAATTTATCCCAAAGATTTGTAACATTTTCAATATTATATTCCCATTGTCTCATTGAAAAATATTCAATAACATGCATGAAACGATGAATTTTTTTGTAAGTATTTAATAATCTAAAATTATATAAAAAACATATAAATATAGTATAGAATATATAAAATAGTTATCCGTGATTTCAAAATTTCAATAATACGGTGTTTAATATAAAATTCAGCAATTACAACTAGTAATTGAATTATTAACACAGAATATTATTGCATAAAATTGAAATGACGAAATTCTTCAATTTTGCTTTATTCAGCAATTGGATATGAATTACAGTTATAAACTTATAGTTTTTTAATGATAAATTTACCTTGGCTTTTTACCTATACATACACATACAGTATCAAATATTATAGCTGGAACATAATGTAAAAATAATACACTTATCATATGTTTTAGCCAATTTGGATTATTAGAATAACACAAATACCAGATTGCCTTTAATGTTGGATACATCAAACCATATTTTGTTGTTTTCGAAGTAAAATTACCCCATGTCATTTCATTGTCTTTTGATGTACAAAAATTATATACAGGTATATCTTGATTCATTTTTATTGTACTAAAAAAATTTAATGTAAAATATTTTTGAAAATATTAAGATGTACATTCATATTGTATATAATTTTACCTATATCTTTGGGCTATATCCCAGGCTGATGCAATAATACTATTGACACATAAATCAACTGGTACCATATTAGCAGCAGAATTTGGATCACATCGTAATGTTCTTATGATACCAGTACCAGCACCGGCAATAACACCAGTTGGTCCATAAAAATTATCAATCCAACCGCATACGGGATCACGATATGTTGATATAACTGTCAAATTAAAAATTTTTGTAATAAAATAATAAAATTCTTGACTTCAATAGATTACAGTAATACTATATCCAATATACAATTCAAATTTATAGGTTGTAATTGACGAATTGTTTATAAATACAGTAATACTGTTATGGTATGAAGTCTGGGTATATTGCAATACATAAAAATTAATGTATATAATTATTAAAAAATTAATTAAAATATAGGAGATTATACCTATGCCCGGCCGAAACATTCCAACTGGAAGTGATTTACCATATTGATTAATTACATCTTCTGCAATTGCTTTGGTGAATGTATACGTATTTGGCCATTTATCTAGCAATCTATGAAAGATTATTATATTTATATATGAAAAATATATATATACATTATATACTTACATAGGTGTAATAGTATCTAATAATTTATCTGAAGTATATTCTGTTAATAACATCATATTACCAGAATCAATTGGAGGTTCATAAAATTTTTCTTCAATTTTATTTAATGGACATTGTGTATATGCCGTTGATATATGTACAATACTTTTTAAATATTTCATTTCACTACATATTTCTATGATATCTTTACATGCCTGTACATTTATTTGCATTGCAATTTTTAGTTTTTCATCAAAACGTACTGTTGCTGCCATATGAAAAACAATATTAACACGATCTATTAACATTTGACGATCTGTTAATGTTAAACCTAAACCCGGTACCATACAATCACCAGATATACCTTGTATTCTATGACGAAATTTTGGATTTTTTTTTTTCATTATATTGAAAATCTATAATTTAAAAAAAAAAACGTTAGAAAATAATTAAAATTTTATAATTAAAAGCAAATTTTGTTTATTTAACTTACAGGATCGTCAAATATTTCTTCGACTCTGGTGTGTACATCTTTGCTTTTTTTGTTTCGAATTAATAGGAATATGTTTCCGAAACCGGGGCATGATGTAAATAATTTATTTAATAAAACTATACAAAAAAAAGGAAAATAAAAATATTAGTAAAAGAAGAGATCAAAGAAGACTTATATTATGTATTGCTATATAAAAAGATTTATGGGCAAGTAAAACTTTATTAGGCCGTAAAGAATTTCTATTTGCGCTTTTACGTTAAGGCACCATTCCGACCTTTTAAAATTAATATTTATTTCTAACTCGAAAGAGAGTTTATGACTTAAAATTTGCAAAAGTAAAATAAGAAAAGTCTTTCACGTCGCAGAATATTCTTTTAAGCTCTGCCAATTTCCATTCCAATAGTTTTACTTGCTTGTGAAAGTTTATACAATATACAAATATATAATAAAGCCAGTTGCACCCTGTATTTATTATATTAGAGAAAATATAAAAATAATATAATTGTAAAAAATTGTTTTCAACTTACTTTTACCTAAAAAACCTGTACCACCTGTTATTAATATATTTGCTCCATAATAAAAATTTTGTAGTGGCGTTAATTCTTCTTCAATATTATATTCATTTAATATTTTCATAGTATTAATGTACATACTAATTTATTAATTTTTGTTGTCATAACTTATAAATTAAATTCATATCTTTTTTAATATTGTTTTTATATATATATTTTATAATTTAAATACTCAAAATATCAATTATAATTTTTAAAGAGTAACATACATATATAAATAAGTAAACTATGAAATTGTATAAATTATTAATTAATATATTTTTTTGAAAAATCTACTTTTTCTGCATATTTTAATTATATTTACGGTATTGCATATATTTAGGTGTAAGTATAACAAAATTATTTTATATTTAAGCTTTTTCTAGAAGTATTTTTTTGTTTTTTTTTTGTTTGCTGAAATATTCTGAAAATAATAAAAGAAAATTTTTAATAAAAATTAATTATGAAAATAATGATATATATATAATATATAAGAGCAATCATAGTCTTGTCCAATATTAATACTACAACTAAATGCTGTAACCTACAAAATTTCTCTTAATTAATTAAAATTTCAAATGAATGAATGGAGTGGTGATCACTGCAGTATATTTTATTTATATTGCTGTTAATATGTACCGTTGTATTGAAATTTTCCATTAATCCAAGATTAAAATTAAGTTTTGACACATGACAGTAACACGTAACTGTTGGAAAAAAAAATGTTTTTTACGTTACAGAAGAATGTTTTATATAGAGCAGCCGTTGGCAAAATACGGCCCATCATTCTACTTCCAAGAAATTCATCATTCTACTTTCAAAAACTTTAAGAACTCACTCATAAATAACAAATATAGGTACATAAAATTCCATACAAGTTTATTATTTGTCAAAACAAAACATTCAATAAATAGGTAATGTACGAAATTCGAGCGGGCCATACTCATACTCACATAAGTAGTACATATTTGAACATAACCCACAAAAGTTTGCCGATGATTGATGTAGAGCGTTTACATTTACCAAAATATGGAATAATATAATATGTACGTACTATTATTTTAAATGAAAGTTGTTTTAAATGAAAATAGTCTCAACTATCAAAACATTTAAATGCAATTTTGTGTACCATATATATACAAGTTTGTTTTTGACGGTATTTTATAAGCGGTTTAAAAGTCACAAGTCATGTGTCTTGTAGAGTTGCACTGAAGTAAAATTTGTAAACTGAATATTGTTTTTGTTAAGCCCCTCATAGCTATAAGTATTTTTTATATGCAGAAAAAATCTGGTCCTTTTTTTCGAAAAAGAGTATATTTGCACTGCCCCCCAAACCCACCGCCAAAATCAAATCATTTTTTTGCTAGAAATTGATCAAAGAACCATCCCTGAAACTATTTGCTTGAACCACCTTATGCGAAACATCTTGTATATGTATATATTAAAGTTAAATTAAAATAATATTTAAAAAATTAAGAAATATTAAACAAATTACACTCCGTGATTATATATACAATAGTTTTTCGAGTGTTAAAAGGAATTTACACAAAACCATGTGTATGTAATTCATAAACATTTTTAATAGTTAATAAGAAAAAATTTATGCAAGTATATATACATATGTATATATATGTGCACATAGAACAAAATAGAATATACTCAAGTACTTTGAACATCATACATATTTAAATGAAGAAAAACAATAAAAACAAAAACATGGAAAAAATGTCAATACCGTAAAAGTATTTATACAAGGAATTTTATGGAGAAAACAATTTCAATTGTATGTACATATACAACATACATATATGTATATGTACATATTTTATCCAATGAAAATTAAATAATTAAAATGATCTTTTATTTGCATTCTCTTATATTTATTCAATTATTCAAAAATTCTACAATTATTTATTCTTCACACAATTTATTATTAATATTTATTTTTCTCTTTTTACTTTTTCTTATTTTTTTATATAATATATTTATAAGTACGCACTTAATTTATATTAAAATATTTCTTCAATTACATAAATATATACACTTAATATACAATGTGTTGTATGTACATACTTATAAGATAAATGAAAAAAAAATTGATAAGTCAATAAAAATGTGAAGAATTCAAGCGATCTTTTCAATTAGTTTTCAATAATAATATTTTTTTTTTAATTTTATTTAATTTTATATATACATACATACATATGTATTTAGCTTACATATTTACGTAGATTTGTAAAATACAAATTAACATACAATTTTTAGATGGGAAACAACTTCGGTAAATAACATTTTGAAAACATGTAATTCGAAAGAGCAAAATTCTATTCACAAAAGAAAAAATTTGAAAGACCCCCCCCTAGACTTGACAATAGATAAATTTGAATGCTGTTCGAGATCGTAATAATTTTCCTGTATACCCGCTTACACTATGTTGAGTGAACTTAATTTTGAAGAAAATTGTAATTAGCGGAAAATATGAATTGTCTAATCTTAAGTAATCATTAAATATAGGTTTTGAATTTTGATCTTAAACTACGATCGATCAAATTTGTAGAGAAGCGAGATGAAAAACCAAAACTAGCTTAAAATTGCACTAAAGCGCAATGCACTGTATCAAATACCTATTTCGCACACGCCACATAATGTGTACTTCACTGCGTAGATCAAAGTATGTATGTATGTACTTATAAATTTCAAAAGGCAAAAATAAATTCTGATGGAGCCTATAAAATGAATTAATAAAAGAGAAATAGGTATATGTTTTCATATGAGCAGCAAATTTAAATTTACATATTTTATTTGAATGAGGGCAAAAAAGATACAATAATTAAGCGAGTTTTATTCAAAAAATAGACTTAGAACTATTTTGATCTGAAGTACCCATGTTATATCGAATATATGTGTGTATGTATATATAAACCAACGTATAGCTTCATTTAGTGTTGTATAAATTCATAAAGTCCTATAATGTAGTTTGAGAATAAAGATGTCTGTGATAAAATTAAATAATAATAAATTCAAAAAACAAAGAAAAAAAATGTCTGTCGTCTTTTTTGTTTATATTTGTTTCTTTTTTTTTTTTTTTAAGAAATGACGGTTGATTTGAATTTATTTACAGCCATCAGGTTATTTAAGAAAAATAAAATCTTTTTTATTATTCATATTAAATATTTTTGTTTTGAATAAAATTTCAGAAAGGAATCAAAATAGCATTCTCATTAGAATTACTGGAAAAGGAGGTGAATCAACCCCAATTACATAGGTCACCAGAAACTAAAAAAAAATCGATCCATATAAAAAGTACCTACATAAAATTTATTTCTATTGGTGTTATTACTATATGTCAGAGTGGCCGCGTTGATTCCCCCCTCACAGTGCAGAACAGTACGGTACAGTAAGTAGCTTTATTAAAAATATGCAAAACTAACATCAAAAGCGTCAATCAAATTTTAATAAAAATACAATTATTTCTAAATTGATGAATCAAGTCAAATTGACGTAAAATTTTCAGTATTTATTTTTTTTTTTTATAATTTATATGAATAATATGTAGATATGTATATAAATTAGTGTAAGAAATAAAATTAATTTGAAATTAGAATTTGTATAAATATTTAATTCATGACTTGTTTTATTTTTAAATTTATTTAAAAATTTAAAAAATAATTAAAATAAATTAAAAAACACATCAGGTAGACAAAAGACACATTAAAAATAATTTGTTTTTTTTATTTTTATTAGTGTTTTTTTTCTTCTTTCGCTTTTTTTCATTCATTTTTGTTTCATTCATCATTACCTTATTTAATTCTTTAAAAAAAAATTTATACCTATAAATTTAAAGTTCTGCGTTTAAAATTAGTATACAAAAGACATGTGTATGTACATATTTGAATCAATTATGTATGTGTATATGTATTGATATATAGGCTAAGAAAAAGTAAAGATATTTAATTTTAAATATGTTACATGTCTATCTACAAAGAGTATACAAATTACTCAAAAGAATCTAATTTTTGCAAGAACAAAGTGAGGGTGTGCAAGGCCATCTTATTAGATAGAAGAGAATTCCTCAAGAAGATGGGCGGCGATCATATTAAATGTCTTATTAAGTGCAAATATAAAAAATTTCTTTGCTATTTAAAAAATTTATGCAAGAAATGAACATTCGGGATTCTTAAACGAACATTTGGTCAAATTGATCCGCTAAAAGAGAGAAATGGTATTAGGACCTACATTATATAGAGTGAAATGTAAAGGAATTTCGAAATTTATTAATACTTAATTTTTGGTGATCTTAATAATTCATTATAATTGTGTTTTTATAAAAATTATGATATCTTAACTTATTAGAAATTAAGGTAGATATCATAAATTAAGATTTTAGAAGAGTGTAGCGTGCGTATATTCAAAGACTCTTGATTGTAAAATTGCAGTAAAACGGTTTTAATATACATGCATATAATTGAACTTGAAAGTTATAATTGCTGAATTGTGTATCGCAGATCTAAAATATTACTGAAATTTTCAATTCACGATATACATACATACACGTGTATTTCTATATTTTTTGTACGCGTATGAATGTATGTATGTATTAAAACTTTGAAGAAACTTTGTATTAATCAAAGAAATTTTTGAAAGAATTCGAATTTTTAAGAGTCATATAGCAAAAATCAATGTACACAAATTAAAAAATTCATAAAAAGCCAAACCAAGACAGAAAAAAAAAACAAACTGAATTTTATAAAAAAAAGCCAATTAAAACGGTAAATATTTACAAAAATAAAAGCATTACAATGGAATATCAGAATGTTTATTGAACGGTATTTGTTTTTTATTTTGCTATCATTCTCTTCTCTGATTTTTTTATGATTTCCAAAAAAAAAAAACTGGCTTTTATATTTTCATTTAATCGGCGCTTTACGTATGTAAATAGGTTTTTCAGCTCTTCATGTCTTCAAATAAAACCGGAATTTATTAAAAAAAAAATTTTTTTTTTCTTTTGAGAAATTTTTCTTTTCATTATTTTTTTTTTTTAATATTTGCTTCTTTTTTATTACTTTCTTTCTTGAAAGGAAAAGTAACTTATGTATATTTTTTTATTAATTTTTTCATTTATCATAAAAGTGAATGACAGAGTTACCATAATAATGCGATTTTCTACATTCATACATATACATAAATATTACATAAATTTTTATCTATAAAAATAAATGTTTTTTCTTCAAAATTGCAACAATACGGTATAAATACACAATTCAGCCCGCGAGTTTATAATTGTGCCTTAATATCGTATTGAGGCAGAATTATAAACTCGCGGTTTCCAAAGTGTTATGCTCTCATAATTAGTTTTCATTTAATAGTTTCAATTATTCCTGATTTCAAAATTATATTTATATTCGGTAGTAATACGGAATTCAG